TATGGGGCATTGCCAAGAGAAAGATGCGAGACATGAGACCGAACAATGCAGAAGAGCTGAAGGCTGCTATTGAAGCATCCTGGTCTTCCATAACACCTCAGCAGTGCCACAGGCTGATAGCTTCCATGCCATGCCGCATTGAGGCAGTAATTGCTGCAAAAGGGGCCCAAACCAAGTACTGAGTACATATGCATGCTTACACTTTTCAGAGGTCCGATATTGTTCTATGTACAATCCTTGTTTTATTGATTGCATGTAATATTCTAATTTTCTGAGATTGTGGATTTGGGGTTTTCGTGAGCTGTAAGCCATAATCATCACAGTTATGACACATCACAGCTTGAACTATCTTGCTTTGCATGTAATGAGTCTATCTCATATATTAGGTTCACCTTTTAAGTTGCATTACTGAAATAAATGAACTTTTGCACGATATTCTAATTTTTCGAGTTTCACCTGTATACAGTAGCTTGTGCCAGTACCTTATATTCGGTATGCACCCCCACTAATATTGGCAGAAGCTACTGTATATAAATAGAGAGCAAAGCCCACTTCACTAGCACTGATGATGTTTTCTAGGGTAATAAAATATCTGCTACCACATAAAGTCAGAGAACACTAAGGACTCCATTGGTCTCCATTTGACTATATTTCCAACTCTTTTACCTTTCTTTCAGCAACTTCAAGTAGGCAATTTTCACTTACAGCTTGAACAGTTACAGACTCTTCTATATTTATGGACTGCAGTGTTGGTGTTACAGAGGACCTGAAGGCTGTATGATCCAGAAATGTTTCAGTTTCTGAAAGGGACTCTCGAGCTTAAGGACAGCTATATTGTCATTACTATTTATTTCTCGCAAATTCCATTCACAGTCTTCACAGTTTTACTTACATACATGGTACATATAGAAGGCACAATTTCTTCTATCACAAATGAAATTATCAATATTATGCTCTTTGAAGATCAGTTCAGCTGAAGAATGTGCATCTCATTTCTAATTTATAAAGGATGTGCTTTGGCCATCTAAAGTGAACCAGATATGCACCTGTGGATATTGATCTAGGAACTGCCAAATTAGGAAATTTAGGCTTCGGTGTCATCAGGAAAAGATATTTTTAATACAGTTGCTTTATTGTACAAGGGAAACAATGTAAATTATTTTTGTTGTGGGGTTTTTTTGCCACCTATAAAGAAAAGCAAGCATAGGAACACATTATCTTTTTTCCTACATGATAGACTAAGCTACAGAAAAGTGCACAAGTTTGATCAGAAAACAAAACATTCTCTCCTGAAAAGAACATGTGCAAAAGTATCAGCTAAGCATATAACCCAGAGAGGCTGCATTTGGTGTTGTCCTCTTAAATAATACCTGCTGTATGTCAAATCACAAATGATACTGAATTGCTTTTCCTCTTTTTTTCCCTTTTTCTTTTCATTTATTCATTTATTTATTTCTCACACCTGCAGACCAACTGCTCTTCCCCAAATTTGTATGTAGTAAGCAGGGCTGTTGAAAACTGAACTGTTACCATTGTTCCATAGTTACTTTTTTTCCTGATAAAAGTGCATATGAACTATCATTTCATCATGAGAAGCAGCCCAAAATCGAAGCATTTTCTTGGACCTTTTAACCTCATGGAACAGTGGAATATTCCAAGAGAAAGTAGCTGTTATGGTGGAATATTCCATAGGAAAGAAAGCAAGTCAGTTTCCCACAATGGAATCAGTTTTGGTTTCTTTGTTTTGTTTTTGGTTTTTTTGACATCGTGAATGATGCCTCTGTGGTATTTCAGCAAAATAAACAGTTTAGGATCATAGACACATTTCTAGCAAAGTGCTCAGTGTTGATTTTTATCTTCTTTCTGGGAACCTAATGTAGAATTACTTCAGCTTCATTCATGTTCCAAAGATTTATTCAGAATAATTCTCTTAAGGATAACTGGGAATCAATTCAATATATCTCCTTTTTCTTGACGTAACTGTAATAGTTTCCATATGACTTGATTTCTGAGAAAAACACACAGAGGATACATTACTTTCCTGAGTTTTGTTTTTGCCAACAGTCTGAACCAGTAATTGTTCGTCAGTATTCTAGGCATTTAAATAGTATTTATCCTTTTCTAATCCATTCATATTTGTTACAAATTTAAAATATATTGTGAGAAACAGTGATGTAATTTATTTGTCTCATACTGGGACTAAATGAAAAGCTGCCTTCCTTAGTCTTTTGGGATTATGAAACTAACATAGAAATGAAAACTTTAAAAGCGTCCTTTTGGAGAAGCTGAATAAAAATCATGGTTATTTTGAAAGACTATACTATAGTCATATTCCACTGCCTGTATGATATAGACTTAGAGAGTGGAGGCTGGACAGAATATCTTCCACCCAACCACTTATTGATTTATTTACAACAAACCACATAATACTGGTTGTCAATCTTTCCTGAATCAGTCAGTCACTCATTGTTTCTGGAATTCATTAAGCAAGTTCCTCTCTACAAAGACTCAGAGCTGGAGTGGGCGGAGGATGTTTTTCTAGATGAATTCAGAAGTTCTTTAAACTTCTTTGTCTCAGGCAAATG